TGTATGTATGTATGTATGTATGTATGTATGTATGTATGTATGTATGTATGTATGTATGTATGTATGTATGTATGTATGTATGTATGTATGTATGTATGTATGTATGTATGTATGTATGTATATTCTTAAATACATTCTTCTTGAATGGATTTAGCTAGGTTATGCGGTGGTTGATCTAGGTCTTCTAAATCCCTTGGAAGTTGAGGACATAATCCTTTCAAAGTTCATTTCCTTGGTCCTGCAGGTGCTCCCATTTAATGTTCTACACATTTTTTTAATCAATACTGAATTTCCTCTATCTAGAAACTTTATACTAATGGGTATTATTGTTGCTTTGATTCATTGTCCATCAGTTTGTTTCCCAAAGAAGAAGACATATCCGGGGAAGTGTTTTAAGGTTGATTCTTGACTACATTCGTATTTCTCCATGCAAGGTGTGTGTTTTAAACATAACATTTTGCTCGCATTGTAACTTTCTGTGATATCAGTACAGGGAATTATGTCATGGACAACTTTACATTCTAGTTAGAGTGTTAGGGACAGAAATCTACATTCAAGCTAAAATAATATTTCTGCATGATGATGTTTGTGATTTCTTATAAGGTATATATATTAGTCCATAATAATCAGATGTATTCACTAATGGTTTAATAATAGCACTCATGCAGACCTGTCTTACGGCAGCTGGTTGTTACCTATGTCCAGCTCCTGGTTCCAAAGGCACCAAAATGCTTCTTTGCTGCTTACCCAATGAAAATCTCTCTTTGAAGACGGGATTATCAGATATGTTTCTTAACAACGTATTGAAGTGCTCAAAAGGTGATGTAGAGCAAATAATAACAGAAGCAAAAGTATATGCAGATCAATTTTTTCTGGATGGATTGCGACTGAACTTCTTAGATTTAAAATCTTCAGAGTCTGTTCTAGTTGAAGCCAGAAGGCGAGGCATTCTCAGTGAGTCTACCTATCAGAGTATTGTTTCTTTGCAGGAAAATGAGAGTGAAATTTTCAGGTCTCAACCCAATAAAATCTCTTGTTTAGAGTTAGAAATTGAAGAACCTGCCAATTATATTCCAAGCAGAGTGCTTTACCAGGATGACTTGGGTTACTTCATGAACAGATTCTTGGTAAAATGGAATATCAGGAAGAAAGCATATTGTAACTTATATACCATTAAAGATACAGATGCTAGTGAAAAAAATGTTGGTGAAAGATGGAACTCTTGCAGTTTGTGTGTCATTGGACTTAATATGGTAGCTGAGGTGCGCCACATGATAGATGCTGACTGGTTGTACCTTGCACAGCTAGCAAGTTCTCAGAGCAAACCATTACTGTTTGCTTCAGATGCGGACAGAACTCTGGGAATCTCATGCACTGATTATGCGAAAGAATCAGCTCAAAGGGCCCTCTCCACATTGAAGTCTATTCCAGTCGCTGCAAGAAGAACTCTACCTGTCCTGGTTAACAGTAATGGGTTACTACTAAGCATCCCGGTATGTCAATCCTTTTTCTGCATATGTTCCTGAAAACTTGTCCTTGTGCATTTACGCCGCATGAGTTACTAGTAAACCTACGGTTCTGGTCTGGTCTCCAAAGCAAAACAGACACAGTATATCCCACCCTATCAAGAGTAGAGAACTGCTCTTTGGGACAAGATTTGCAGAGACTTCACCTCTACCTCAATGAGCAGAGAACTGCTCTGGTTTCATATTCTCTATTTTTTTCAACATCACACTACATAGTTTCACTACTCTTATTGTTGCCAAGCATTTTCTCTCATAAACGACTGTCCATTGAAAATGTTTTTACTTCAAGTAAATAATGGACTAAAACAACATGGCAGGCACATTAAACTTCCCTTGCTTCTTCAATTTAATCAAGTATTGTTCAGCAAATGCATCAAGGGTCCAACAGCCTCTCTGTGTTTTAGAGGGATAAGGCTGAGTACTCTTGACCCCCAAACTCATTTAGTTGGGATACTACTGAGTTTGTTGTTGGTACATATACCCAACCCATGCATGGGATGCAAGTCTTGAAGTAGAAGCCTTGAACTGCATGGCATGGAAGGACTTCCATACCCCACAACTCGGGGCATTTCATGGCATCATTTTTATTTCTTGGGGTTATATGCAAGTTAACTTGTATCAAGGTATGATGTAAACGGACTCCAGATCCTGCAAAAATAAAATAATAAAAAAAAGCAAAGGTGGCCAATGAAATGGTAGATTTCGTTGATTTTATCTTCTTATCTGTTGCAATATACTACGTAGTATGTGTGTATAATGCTTCTTTTGGACATTTCAGGCATTGAAAAAATTTCTTCAACTTTTAGAAAGGTCTAACTTCCAAAGTGTCTGTCTTTCAGAATATTGATTTCCAGCACTGTCCCTGCTTCGTGGTGACTGCCATATTCAAGCCGATAGTTCCGCTTGGCGGTGGTTACAGTTCATTTCTGTAGTTATTTACTTTTATTCAATTTATTAATTTACGCGGTGTCTGTTAGCATGTACTTGTCGCTGATGTTTTAGTTCAAAACTCAGAAGCTTTTTTTGGACTGTTAGATTCCAATCTTGAAGAAACATCTTCATGCTTAATTGATGTACACATTAATACATCAGAGAACCATATCTTTCAATAGATCACAAATGTGATTCCCAGCAATTAGACGTGGCAATTGGGTCAATGAGATTAGTTTCGGTTTGGAATAATTTGGTTCGGATATCTTTTGGATATTTGTTATAATCGCTTCGGTTTAATATTGGTTCGGATTTAATTCGGTGCCATTCATTGTTCTGTTTTGGGTCAGTTCAGATTCGGTTCAGATGTCAATCGATTTGGGTCGATTTCTGTTTCGGTTACATTGTGGTTCAATATACTTCGATATATATTTCAATTCGGGTATATTTTTATATCGGATATGTTTGTATATATGTTACTCCCTCCGTCCTAAAATGTTCTTCCCACTTACTTTTTACACGGTCAAACTTTTATCACTTTCTTTACCTATTTTCATTAGTTATTTGATAAAATAATATAGTCTTGTCACCACTTGTTTTGTAGAACTTTTAATGTAGTTTTTAAATATATAAATTTTATTTTTTAATTTTACACCTACAATCAAATAAATTGTATTGAAAATAAAGTAAGTCAAACATTGTAAACAGAACCGGGAAGAATATTATAGGACGGAGGAAGTATTTTTGAATTAAAATTTAATTTTCTATTAATTTTTTACGATATCGCACTTGTCAATCTATTATCAATTCATCATCGCATATTATTTTATTATTTTTTCATTTTAAATATCTTCTATTTTTATCTTTTCAGTCATCTTTTCTAAATTTGGATCATGAATTATGAAAGAAAAGTATATATTTAGTTCTTATATAAAATTAATATAATTAGATTATCGAATTACATACAATTTGGTTAGAATATGTTAAAATTGAGTAAAATTGCAATTAGATAAAATTTGAGTGAAATTAAATGTAATTCAAAATACATGTTTGGCCAACCACACAATATTGCATAAGAGGGGGGTTGAAAAAATACTTTTATTCGTGCTCTAGTTTGTATAATATTTTAATTTTTAACTAACCACTTTATGTAGTTGTATTGTTCATTTTACACCAATTTATAAAGAATAAATTTAAAACATATAAATTTTACATTTTTTTATACTACCTCCGTCCCAGTGTATTTGTCCAGTTTGATTTTTTCGAGTCAAACTGGATAAACTTTGAACTCTAATTACTCTTAATTTATATTGCATATTAGCATAATGAAATAAAATTTTGAAAGTTCTCAATACGATAAATCCAATAAAGTCATTTTTATATTAAAATACATTACAGTTTTTATTTAATTGAAGTTCAAAGTTTGTTCGGTTTAACTCGAAAAAGTCAAATTGAACAAATACACTGGGACGGAGGGAGTATATGTAATTCATTTTGGACATAGGAAGTAAGTAATATAAGTATATAACTAGTTCAAAAGGTAAAATAAAAATAAAAAATTGAAATAATATTTATGTAATTGTTCATTAATGTATATAACATAATATGTTTATTGTTAGAAAAAAATTAATTTTTGGAGATAATCGATTTCTGGTCTTATCAATTTCGAATCTTACCGATTTTGGGTCTTATCAGTTTCGGATTTAACTGGTTTTGGATCTAATCTATCAGTTCTAATTAGTTTCAGGTTTAAATCAGATATGGATATATTTAGTTTGGTTTCGGTTCGAATCAGATCATTTCGAGTATAAATTGGATCTTTACATTTCGGATTATTTCGATTTCGGTTTCGAATCATTGGGTTCAGGTAACTTGTTCTGGGTCTGTTTTGCATTCTAATTCTTAATTTTTAGAACGGAGTAATATTTTTTTAATATCCTTTTACTATCTTTCAACCTTTCCAAGTTTTTTCTGCTTTTTCTAACTTTTTTTTGATATGCTCATGATTAGGATTGTTTTTTTTTATATGCTCATGATTAGGATTGTTGGGAAAATCATTTCAATTTTCTAGCGGAAGCAATTAATAATTTTCCCGTCTTTGTGTTGTCAAAATGGGCAAAATCATATGACCGATCAAGAATAGTAAACACGTCAACAAGCAATCAATCAAACGATAAACGAACACCAAGATTTAACGTGGAAACCCCAAATCGGGAAAAAAACCACGAAGCCTTCCACTAATCACCAAGAAAATCAGAGGGTACACCAAGAATCTTCTCTAAATCAATTAGAGGTACACACAATCATCAAGTAATAACTTGGAACACGAAACAACAATAATCTTCACTAAAGAGTGAGAAATCCCCAATAAAAACGCAACAACAAACATAGGCAGTTTTACCGACATCGAAAGGTCAAAACAACAATCCCACCGTTGGATATGAAGAAGAGGATGTGAGGAACAACATACTAAAATTTCATCCCAATCGGAGCTCGTTTGGTCATCGATCGGAGCACAAAACAAGGCTGCAGCTCTCTTTTTCTCCCTTCTTCCTTCTCTCGGCTCTCACCCCATTTCTTCTCTGTTTTGCTGCTGCCCTTTCTGCCGTGAGAAGCCAAACAAAGGCTACTGCCTTTTCTACCAATAATAGGTAAGTGGTAGCCCCCACCACTCACACTTTGCCTTTATTTCTTTATAATAATAATAATAATAAATATTACGGAGTATTATTATTATTATTATAGTAACCAACTCTAAAACAATTACATTTTTAACACTAAATGTATAGTTTAGAAACTCCTTCCTCCATGTAGGAGGGATACCCCAACAAGGATTATCATTGTAAATGGACATGTGTTTTGGAACTTTCGTAAGCAGTGTTTCTTTATGCAAACGGGTTATTATCGATAAATAATTTTTTTAAAAAAAGTTTTTTTTATCATACTCTTTATTTTCAAGGTAGGAGTAAAATCTGAGTACATTCACTCTCTCCAAAACATATTCTTGTAGAATTTAACTAGTTATTATTGTTGTAGTATTTGTAAATTAACTTAAATGAGATATTAATCATTTAGGGTTATTCATAAAAGGTTAAAATAATTTCATACGGAGTAATTGTTTTGGTCAAAATATAAACACGGACTTAAAAGTGGAGAAATTACAATATCGTACTAAAATATAGTGAGTTTTTTTCAATGTAGTATCACATATTTTAATTTCTCAATGTAATACCACTGTTCAATGCCCATTAGACATTATTCAAGTAAATATCCATCGCACATTGTTCGAAGTAAATGTCCACTGCTACTGGACATTGTTCCTGTCACTAAACATTATTCAAATTTTATTTAGGGAATAAAAATTTTTAGATACTACATCAGAAAAAGTCATATATTTTAGTATTATTTAATACAATACAAGTTTCACCTTAAAAATGTGTAGGCAAGACTTAATCATTTTTTAAGTTATAAACAATTTTTAAATTAGCATAACAGTGTAACACAAAGAAATATGTTATGAATTGACTACTAAGTTAGAAACAACAGAGTATCTGATAAATAGTTTTGACTAGAAAACACCTACTCCCCGTCCCATAACTCTTCCTTTTTGAAAAAAAGTACCCTCTTAAAATGAGAAGTTTTGGTGTTATTTTCTAATTATGACTCATCTGTCCTACACATTTCATCAATTTTATTACTGGTATAAAGTAAGGATAAAATTAGAAAATAATACCAAAATAATTCATTTTAGGGGTGCATTTTTTTCAAACAGGAAAGATTTTAGGGGGACGGAAGGAATATTAAGTTAAAATTATTTGAAGTATAAAAGTAAAGCAATCCCTTGTGAAACACAATGACTCCAAGTTCTCTATACTCCATGACATCGATCTCCTCAAAAAAGTAATTCCACAATCACTCCTTTTTGTTGAACCTACTCACTGCCACACTTTAGCCAAGCTCACGCTTGAAAACACAAGCTTTAATTTGTAGTTAATGTCCATCTTAAAACCTCTATCATACGGTAGTAAAACTATGTTTTTTTGAGTTGAAAAAGAAAATTGGATGTCGAAAAAATTTAAAATTGTTACAAAAGAGATGTACATATTACACCGGACGGGAAGATAAACAGCTCCAGAAGAAATTAAAATAAAATAAATCCAAATTTATAATCTATTCTGATTAATTACAATAAAAATAAAAATAAAATAGCTTTCAATCTTCAAAAGCCTTGTTTGACAGTGAAGACTTTGTGCACTGGATTGAAGCAACGAAATTGTCCCAAAGATAATAGTGCTTAAGATAATAGTGCCCGCCCACCGTACTGGAGCACGTGAGCACATTTCTCCCAGGATAAAACTGCTATCGTATGTGGTGGTTGTACGGACCAACCTCACACCTATGAACGAGAACACCGTGGAAGTGTTATCGACCGGAAAAAAATGATGAGGACCACCGGAAATATTGGCTGGAAAACTAGAGCTCTCTCAAAGATTCAACTTTCTTTTTAAGAATAAAAAGAAAAAGTTAATACTCCTTTACTCAAACTATACTAACGTATGATTTTTCTTAAAAGAGAGCATCATTTACTTGGCTAGCATGATGGCTTTTCATTTTTTACAACTTCCACCATTATCACCACTAATAAATTATAATAATAATCATCATTAGTGGTGTGACATTAGTGGCGTGTTAATGAGAGATCATTAACACGTACGTTACACCACGCTCCGTTAAAATTTGTCTCAAATAATTGGAGATTAATGGCCAGTTAACTCTGTAAAAATGGACTAATTTTAAACATTACGTTAAAGTAATAGAAGATTGGTTCAATAAAAATATGTCGTTTATTCTGTCGATAAAGTCTGTCATTCTTTTCATCGTTACGTAGCGACAGAATTCAAAATTCCGTCATCAGACTCAATACTAACAAAAAAAACTACGGAAATATAACCGTCGTTAATTCTGTCGTTGAAGGCAATTACCTACGGAAATTAGGTTTTGACGATGAAATTTTTCCGTCGTTATTTGAGCAGTTTTGTAGTGATTGGAAGAAATCCGCATGTAATAGCTTCTGCTAGTTACACTTTTTGAATCCTGCACAAATAAATTACACTACCAGTGAAAAAGAACTTTTTTTTGAACCGAAAGCAAAAATATATTAAATCACCTCATAACAAGTATACAACACATGCCAGTTGAGCCATCAGGTAAACATCTATACTACCTCAACAGTACTACATGGATTTCCAACCTCATATTACACCCTTTGCATTAAAAAAGTACTAACATGGGAGATAATCCAGTTGGTGGTATCTTCTTCATGAATGCTAATCTGTTTGTAGATTTTCCAGTTCCTCGCTCTCCAAACAGCATATACACATGCTGCAAAGATGGTGTTTATCTTCCATCTGTGCTTATTGGGTCTAAGCTTCATCATTTTCTCATTCATAGCCCCAATTGAAATACCTTCAAATTTGTAGTTGCACCAGTCAAATAACTTAGCATAGATGTTGGTGGTATATTGACAGCTGCAAAACAGATGCTCACTATCTTCCTCTCCATTACTGCAGAGACTACAAGCAGTGTCCATGGGGATGAACTTGCTAAGTCTTTTCTTGGTTTGGAGTCTATCCCTGCATAGGAGCCATAATATGATTTTGTGCTTGGGTATTGATAGCTTGTTCCAGACCATGTTAGACCAGTTAGGTTCTTGTCTTTTCCCAATTAACCACTTGTAGCCATCTTTTGAAGAGTATGGGCTCTTCATCTCCATTCCTTCAAAGCACCTTCTGATCTTTAGCATTTTCTTCCAGTAGAAACATGAGTCATTTTTGATTTGGCATTCCCATATGTTATTGGTCTTTAGATATTTCCCATGAACCCATTTGACCCATAGGCTCTCCTTCATTTGGGCAATATCCCAACTAAGTCTCATAATTGTTGCCTTATTCCATAATTCAAGATTTTTTATCCCCAGACCACCATTCCTCTTTGGCAGGCAGATTTCATCCCAAGCAACTAGAGGATGTT